TTGGAACTATCCATATATGCAATGTTGGATTAAGCTGACTATCTTTTGAACTTAACTTCTATGCATGTGAGATAACCTAAGCTAGGTACCACTTTAATATTTAACCTATCGTTCAATTCCACATAAGATCTTGGTTATTATTGCCTCTACATCTAAACGTGCAAACTTCTTTAAGCAAATCAATTTCGCATGGATTGTCTTACATCAAGTAGCTCGTCAAAAGCTTGTCCATTTGCAACCCTAAGTACGGTGCTCCAAATAAATACTTATGAACTGTTGCAGGTGGCAGACCCAGCCGTTTAGTTGGGACAGTCCTAGTATAAAATAAAGCAACGAACTGCCCAACTACGGATACAAAAGAAACAAGAGACACATGACCTCTCTGTTTGAGCAATAAAAAATTAAAGAAGATTCAATAAAATTCTATGAACTCGTGAACACAATCAAAGAAAATAAAAAGGCTATCTTAAAAATTAGTTTTGTTTTTCTTTGAAATAAATATGTAAAATTTATTTTCAGTGTTTTCAAAATAATTTAATTTATTGTAAGAAAATGGCTAAGCAAACGATATTATGTTCTTTTAAAAAAAATAAAAGTATGATGATTTTCTACATAATATTATATTAATAAACAAGATAACATTATCACTTAAACAATATTAAGATCCACAAAAAATTAAACCAATCAATGTACCCCTTAACTTGATAAAGGCACAAAACATTCTTGAAGAAAAACGATCGCAGAGAAATATGAACTAGCAAAGATTGGAAGAAATTGAACAAAAACCCCCACTGAAGACAACAACTGATGCTCATAAAGAAACCCTTAAGAAATCAGATGGAGAGATCATTAGATAAAATTGAGGAAAAAGAGGGCATCTGGAGAAAAATGAGAGATTAAATAGTTTACCTGTGATGATGACGGTGAGGTTAGAAGCGTCGATGCCCTCCGTTACCTCCTCTGCGGTGGATGCAGAGCCATAGCCACTCGGACCTCGCTTTCCCGTCACAAGAGAGAAGATGCTCGCCATTTCTTTCCTGTGAACGCCAAAGCCCAAACTCCCAAATTAGGAATTTATAGAGTTTCTTCCAAGAATGCAAAGAGCGTTGAGGAGAGAGAATCAGAGAGGAAAGAAGTGGAAGAAATTTATAGGTGGGGGCTGTGGAGAGAATGAAGATTTGTTTAGAGAGGAAAAAACGCGTGAAGACACAAATAAATAAGAGTTGGGGTGTCAAAATTCACGCAACACGAAAATAAGATTCTAATCCTAATTTTTCGGGTAGGGGTCAACCTGATTCATGAAAGGGTCAGATTCGGAAATTTTTATTGCGTCCGGTAAAAATATCGAGCATATCGAGTGTACCGAGCGCCTGTACCGAGCACTTTAGTGACGTGGCGTTTTGTTATTGGTTTCCGAATGCATTCGGTAACCTGACGGAATCATTACTTATTTTTTACCCGTTTCACATGAAGTATAAGCGAATAAGTTTCCGCCCACGAGCCCTACCCACGCTTCCACCTTCCTCAGTTCCTCCTTCAACGATATTCACCTCCTTCGACAACATTCCTTCATCCTTCGACAACGTTCACCTCCTTCGACGACATTCACTTCCTTCGACAACGTTCCTTCCTCTCGAGTCGAGGGCATTCGCGGTTTGATGACGTTCCTTCCTCCTTCGATGATGTTCACAACCCTTTCACGACATGACGAGTAACCATGGTTTCATGCTGGATCTGGTCAACCTAGAAACCCGACGAGTCGAGTTCGGCTCATATCAAATAGCGTTGAGTTAGTTCTAAGTTTTACCTAAACCCGACTTGCAATCCGATTTTAATACTTCTAACTAACATCATGGGTCTAACGACCCACTGTGGTTGTCGATTTTAAAGACCAAATTTGCTAACCACTTTTTGGTTTGCGGGTTAAACGGAATCAATTTTGAGTTAGCGGGTTGATCAGAATCCGACTCATTTTTTTTTAAAATATGTCAAACGCAAAACTGGAACCCAACCCATTTGAGAATATGATTGACCCTAACTAGGAATCTTCGGATCAGATTCGAGTCGGATTTTTTTATCGTGTCAAATATTAACACACCTAGAAAAGAGAAAAGGAAAAAGGTGGGAGAGGACAAAAATTATAATTTTTTAATAACTCTAAGAAAAAGTTTAACATAAAATTTTATAAAATTGAAATAAAATAGTTATAAACAAGGTTTTGAAATTTAGACCAAATTTGATAATTTATTTAAATAATTTAATTTAATCTAAATATTTTATTAAATATTAAATTACTTTAAATATAATATATTTTAGTTAATTAACATAAAATATTATATTTTAAGTATTAATTAATCATACCCACATTATTCCCATCT